AATGAATTGCTGAAGTTGATCCTTATTGAGATTCCCAATTAAGTTTTCCAAATGTGAAGGAGAATTCTCAGAATGGGAAGATAAGGATACTTGAGCAGCAACTTGAGGAGCCTTGTAAACAGGAGCCTTGACAACTTTATCAGAATTCTTAATTTTAGATGTAAAACCAGGAGGGAAGCCATGCTTCTTGTAGCACCTCTCCGCAATGTGACCAACTCTGTTACAGAAAGAGCAAATAGGACGCCCTTTATTAGGTCCATTTTGCACATAACAAACAGTTGGGTCAGGAAGAGTGGAGCTAGCTTCTGAGACTTGAAATGCAGTAGGTGTGACAACCAGATTGGAGAAACTTTTCTGACTATCATCTTGATCAAGAATGTGGTAAACCTCAGCCAAAGATGGAAGAACCTTCTTCATAATGATCTGTCTTCGAACAATGGCATAAGATTCATTGAGACCAGCCAGAAACTTGACAATCTTGGCTCTCTCTGCCTTCAATTGCAGACGAGCACCTTTACCACACACACATGGTTCATCAACTTCTTCAGTACTCTCTAAATTGCTCCAGAGAGTTTTCAATTTTGTATAATATTCCATGAGAGACTTAGATCCTTGACGGAAATCTTGGATCTCTTGAGTAAGATTAAAAGTCCTTGGCAAGTTACTCATGTGAAATCGGCTATACAAATCACGCCAGATATCAGAAGCATCCTTCAATCGTAAGATACTACTGTAAATCTCAGGTGAAACCGAATTAAGTAACCAAGACTTAATCATACTGTTGCAACGAGACCAGAGACGAAAACTCTGATCCGATTCAGCAGGACGAGGTAAGGATCCATCAATGAATCCTAATTTTCCTTTTGAATCTAAAGCAATACGCATCACAGCATCCCAATCATCGTAGTTCGTACCATCTAAACGAATAGTAACGAGAATCAAACCTGGATGATCTGCACTGTGAAGGATTCGGATCTAAGAGATCTGATGTTGTATGAGCTCGCGAAGCTCCAGACATGCCAGATCGAGCTGCTGGAGGAGAGATCGGAGGAGATTCGACAACACCAGTGGATTGCGACGGTTTTCGAGCTGAAGAACTTGTTCCAGACTTCGATCGAGTAGATTTGCGAGTAACACGAGCTACAGTCACCATTGTAGAGGACGAAATGAGCTCGGAAACGAAGAAATCGGATCAAAATCAATGGAGAAAAGAGCTTGATGGCTCTGATACCATATTACGAAAGAGAAGAGAAGAGAAGAAAACTTTGATAAGATTTTCAATTTCTCATTTCATTAATTAATCCATGCAACTATACAGAGTATTTATAGTCAGATACATTACTATACAAGTGGTTAACATAACCTTAGTATAAACCAGATTAAACCAACATCTAATCTCCAATAAAACTCTCTTGGATTGTTCTCCATGAAACTCATCGGGTGGTTCTCCCATGTGATCGCACCTTCTACATCATATGTTTTGAAACACGGATGGAGCATTCAGGAATAGAGAAAGTCTAGTCTTCTTGAAGTAGTCTTCAACAGAATCCTTGGTTATGTAACTCTCCATGAAGAAACACTTCACAGGAAACTTGTCCCATGCTTCCTCGAATGAGATTTTAAGTGGTATAGCTCTCATTAACTCCTCATTAACTCTCGAAAGTTACTCCTCACACCGTTTTCACGTGTGATGCAATTTATGTTTCGGATATCTGCAGCTTCTTGATCTTCTTCTTCTACAACAGGCTAGTCTTCTCCATGTCCTTGTGGATGTTCCACCTCTTCTTGAATCGTCTAGGGGTTAGATTGCTCTTCTTGGGAGCTATGTAAATCGTATCATTCTTCTCCTATTGATTCTTCCACGTAATCCATTTCATAATCCTCTTCTTCTTCGATGAATTTTTCGTTTTTGATTTCTAACAATGGTTGGACATCGATTGGTGTTATAGCACAACATTCCCTGGTAGGGTACTACTCTTCTTCTTCTTCTTGATAAGTCTCGTGTGAATCGAGCTTAGGGCTCTCGATTTCCATGGAGTTTTGCAACTTTTTTTTCTTCGAAGCTCTTCATTAATTCTCCTTCGAGTCCTCCTTCTTTTAGGGTAACTTCTTCCTTATCAAAAAATTGTAAAAGAGAATTAGGGTTCTTACATTTTTTATAAGACCATGTTTTTATTTTTCTCGAAAGACGACTCACTGTTTTCCTTGAGCTTGAATCTTTATGATATAGATTCTTGAACTTGAAATCGTAGGCAGCGAATTCATCAAATTTTCCTTTTACTCCATTCGCTAACGTCCTTAGCGTTTTCTCGTGTTTCTTCTTCAATCCAATAGAGCCTCTTCTCAATGGTGGCTGCATCCTTAGCACTTTGCTCTTCCAATCTTCTAACATGAGTAGAGATTTCATCAATCTTTTCCGAAAGAACCACATCGATCTTGTCAATCTTTTCGTGAAGTGTCTTTGCACTCATCTCTTGTTGATCTAAGTACTGTCCCATTCGGATATCAATTCTCTCTTCTTGACTTCTCTGCTTCCAAGTAGCATTCAAATGGTCTTAAAAAGCTTAGTTCAGACGGCGGAAAGAAACACGATTTTGGTTAAACCAGTCTTGGTCGTTCTTGGTTCTCCTTTATCATCGATTGATCTTCCACACGTTTGATGTGGCAAGCAAGGGTAGTAAGTCTTGAATTGAAATCGGTCTTCATCTTGGAAAACTTAGAATAAAGTTCTTCCATGTTCTTCTTTTGCTTCGTGGCTAGTTATTGTAGAGTCATCATAATCTTGTAATACAAGTTTCCAAAAATTTGGCCCCATAAGTGTCAAACGAATAGTTGTTCTCGTTAACATCGACTCTCATAACTTCTCGAGGCTTAAATTTTTGATCCATTGCAAAGCAAAATCCTTCTGTTTACCACAGAGTAGGTGAATGAGCTCCTAGTCTCATCGGTCAATCACGAGAGGATCGATCATGTGGGTAGTAGGAATGCTCCATCGGAGATGCATAGACTGGCCGGTGATGACCACGGGTTGATCTGTAGGTCGAGTAAGCATACGACACTGAAATGTCTACGTTTGTGTCTTGGTAGTGCGCCATGAGCTGCAAAAGTGTAAGGGTTTGAAATTAGTCAAGCAGAGCGTCGAGATTCATCCTCAAGGTCTCCTGAATAGTGAAAAATGAAAGCGAAGAATGAAAAGCAAAATATCCAAGAAGTTACTCTAGTTCTTAGACTCATAAATAAACAACCTCTCCCCGGCAACAGCGTCAAAAAAGCTCGACGCGTGTTTTATTTCACCTCAAAGTTTTACTTTAGAAACCACACGAATACTGCAAGTGCACAGTGAATCGTCTTTAGCATTTAAGGATCGAATCTGATAGAGACAAAACATTGTTATATGTATCTGTAAGAAGAGAGTAAGGCTAGAAAAAATCAATAAAAAGTGGGGGGGGGGGGGGGTTTGTCATTACTAAACTAAATAAGTAAATAACATAAATGATAGCGAGTGAAATCAATAAGAGAAATTCGTTGGGCATTCAAAGGATTGCAAGGGGTTCAATGATGTTTCTAACTAATGAATTCTGGGTGAATATTTGTTTACTTCCATGTCTCGGACTACGAAACACGAATGATCAGTTAACAAGAATAATTAACCGTCTAAAATCCTTATACTCCATTTTTCAACAATTTGCAGGCAACAATGCATAGATCAAAGCATTAAGGTCGAGTTCGATTATTGTCCATAAAACCCTATATCTAAGTGGTATGTGCTTCTTATAACATGATACTCATCTAAACTAGGTTCGAGTATTTAAGCAATCAGATAGTGAAACCTAAATACTTAAATACTCGTGATCAGAGTTAGTTCATGAGGCTAACTATATGCATTAAAAGAAAGTTTAGAACGAAAGAAAACAATGTGAACGATCAAACAAAAGCCTAGTAAAATGCCACCTAACAATCCATCATGTCTCCCCTTTGATTATCCCTTTAAACCCAACAAGTAAACTATTCTAACATGGTTAAAGGAATCATCAAAGCAAAGTTTGATAAACTCATATGCATAAAACGTTTAAGAACATAATAGGGTTTAAAGATTACTTTTTCAATATCGAATACAAAGAGGTAAAGGACTTCTCCCCTATGAATGATGGAACGAAAGATGAGAAAATAAGAGGATTGGTGATCTTCAAGAGCTTCGGCGAGCAAGAGGGTGGTTGTAGCTTCTTTGGTCTTCCTTGGGTGTTCTAAGAAGAGGCAAAAATGGAGAACAATAATAAAATCCATTGGGCCGCTTAGGACAAGATGTGTCTCCCAAAAGATGTGGGTGGCTTTGGTTTTAAGGATATTGAAGTATTCAACCAAGCCTTACTAGCTAAGAAAGCCTGGACCCACAGGCCCAGAGAGGACGTGGGGCTCCACTAAACGTGGCGTCAGGGGCGTTACAATGTCCTTTCAAAAATGTTGAACAACGCGGCAGTCGCAAGAGAATTCAAATATCACCCATGATCCTCACTGATGGAAGGTTCGATCAATTCATGGTCTAGTAAAAGTCTTGGATATTTTTGCAAGAAGATTGGGTTTAAATTAGCCTGGAGAAGACATCAATGTATTTGGTTAGGGTTTCGGAACAAGCTCATCCGGAGATGGTTGGTCGACATCCATTTGATTTGGGTCAGCCCCCGGTAAGGTATTTGGTTTTCCCACTCGTTACAAAGCGCCTAACTACAACAGACTACTATCAATTACTTGAGCAGATCCAAAGCAGAGTAGGGACTTGGACATCACGTTTTCTATCATACGTGCGAACCTGAATTTAATTAGTTTGGTCTTGTGGAGTATATAAACTTCTGGTTGGCTGCCTTCTGATTACCTAGAAATTGCATTCGGAAAATTCATTAATTATGTTTAGCTTTCTTGTGGTCTGGAACAGAATGAAATCCGAGAAAGGCAAAAATTGCATGGGAATAGGTAAACCAAAGGAAGAAGGAGCATCTATACTATTAATTGGGAATCATTCTAATTTAAATAACCTTATAAAGTATAAAAAATTACAATGAATGCCATTAGAATTTTTTCAATCTAAGACTAAAATTTAAAACACGTGGAAGGCTAAAATAATAATTTGGTAGAGAAAGATCCATGGATCATGGGCTATTGGATCGGTTATTTTTAGAGCATGATGGGCTAGCTTTCGGATAAACATGCGGATCGTAACACTTGACCCGGCCATTCCTAAAAGTGATCCTCACGGTTGATTTTCCTCAAACTGATCCTCACGGTTGATTTGGATTGAGCGTCACGATTTGTATTGATCCTCACAGTTGCCATTTGATAATCTAAACATAATTACAATAACAAATAAGTCAAGATAATACCTAAACAATCATATCTCTTTAATTTCGAATTCAAATCAATGTCATAACAAATTTGAGTCATCTATAGTTACCAAAAAATCTAAACTAAATCAAAAAAATATATTCAAAACATCTTCAATCAAGAATATACCTAAAATATCTATTCAAATGATTGATTTGCAAAGATATTATTCCTATCTAATAGGACTAACCCTAGACGTTCTATCTCTTATATATATAGATCTTCAACGATATTCTCAATACTCAATAAGCTACCAAACCACCTCTATACCTCTAAAACAATGGCTCATCTCATCACCGAACTTAACGCAATTAAACCTTTCAAAACTCAATGGAAGATTCAAGTGAAAATCGTCCATTCGTGGACTCAATACATCCAATACTCCGGAGAAACTGTCGAGATGATTCTTGCTGATACATGTGTAAGAATCTTTTTACTAATAGTAGATATTTTCTTCTGTAATTATTATGTGTTCATACTCTTTCTTTGCTAAATACAAGGTACCTTGATTCATGCGACTGTCAAGAAACAACAAGTCAACAAGTTTCAAAGGCTCATCACAACTGGAGAGTGGAGAACTGTGGAAAATTTTACAGTTGCAAAATCTATTGGAAAGTACCGGGCAACCAGACTTCCATTCAAGATGTCCCTCATGAATACGACTGTTATAAGTCGTATTCCTTCAATTTCTGAGGAGTTTTACTTTGATTTTGCTAACTTTCCAGACATTCTGAATGTTAATTGAATGAAAACATTTTGATTGGTATTTTCCATTCCTCCTATTTATGTATATAATGTTTAAAGCAAAAAAAATAGCAAACTAACACCATTTCATATTTTTACAGATGCTATTGGTCAGGTCGTGAGTTTAGGTGAGATGACAAACTCACGATGTCATCAACAAAGCCACCAAAAGATTTGAGTTTGAACTTACTACTTCTATTAACAAACAAATACAGAATAAACCACCAACAACATAACAAGCAACCAAATTACTATGTACAAATTTGATATATTTAATTTATAAGTATTTAATCTAATTTGAAAATCAATAGAGTAGGTCTATATTGTTATCACCTAATCAAAAATGTTATGTTTAATATCTTACTAACCTTTTAAATTTAGATCTCTGAAAACCTCCAAATACAACACCAAATCTCTTTTCTCCTTCAGATTCCAAGTCGCAAAAGATTCTTGGTCTGCAGATTTTTAACAGTTATCGATTTTACATTAGTACAACCATATAAATCATTGTAAAGACTAAGAAACATTGCCATTTTTAAAAGGATTGTACCAAATTAGCTTTCAAGAATGCTTCAAATTGAACTGTTACTGTTCTGCTCCATAAGAATTAGAGGTGCAAAATGATACTTGGCCTGCAGACATATTGAGCTTTGTATCATGAATATAAGATTGATCTAAAGAATAATGAAGCAGGAGCTTATTGAAATAAAGTGCTCACGTTATATAATAATCTTAATAAAAAAAAACTTATCTTCGTGGTTCTTCTTCTTTTGAGAATCCATCAAAATATTTGTAATCATCTGAAACAATTATAAAAATAAAAATAAGTATATAGATTCACAGGTTTCAAGATATACTGAAATTGATTAGATTTAGTCTCTTAACACTAGAAATTTGATGAAATAGATTGATTCACTAACTAACATGTTTAAACTAAACGAAACAAAATATGATTCAGTTGCAAGCAATTAAATATGAAAAGGGTAATATTTAATCAAATTTCTATGGGTTATTAACAATCTTTGAATAATATCTATTATGAAACACAAAAAAATCAATGGTAGAAACTCAATCGACCGATTCTAAAAACGTAGAAACAAAAATCAAAGAAAAGAAAAGCTTACCTCTTTTTAGATCTAATAATTTGCGAATCACGATGTATAATCGAAGACGAAGGAAGTCGATTTAGTATGGATTTCGATTCAGATTCGTAAATCGACCGACAAAGATGATTTTCGTTGATTGGAATTTTTTTTCCGTTTCAGACAAAGACTCAAGAACAAAAACATTATCTGTCCAGATAATAAAAAACATAATTGAGATACTGTTTACGACAAAGTTTTGGATTGATTACGGCCCATTACAAATATTATTGGTTCTGTGGCCCAAGGAATAAAACTCAATATTGACCATGTTAGTGACAAATAATGAATTCATTTTAAACATTTGTCAATTATAGTATAGATTTAATAAATTTACCTTACTAGACCAAGTACTAAACACACTAATTATGTTACAAAAACAATAAAATAAACACAGTAATGTGTTGTATTACCCATCTATATTTTAATACAAAAATATACCGAAATACATATTTCTCGAACGATTTGATTTGTTCCCAATACTAATATATTCAATCCTGTAATTTGTTACATAAATCTATTTGAAATAGTCATACAAAATTCAAATTGATACACACATTCAAAACCTAATTGACATAAATTTTATACTCAAAAACATATGTTACCAAAACCCCGCACGTACGTGCGGGTCCGGATCTAGTTTGGCTTAAGATCATTGAGAGCAGTAGCGGACGTACGTAGACGAGAGGTGGGGCACGTTCCACATACTCATTTTTCAAATTTTTTTATTTTTTTTTTAACTTATATATATCAAAGTTACCAAAAAATTTCAAATTTATTAAGTTATCCTCCATGCAAAATAATTTCTAAAAATTTATCAAATTCAATAAGGTTGTGTCTAAGCTTGTGCTTTCGCGTTTCATATCGGATTTTGTTCTGATTTTTTTGGTTTTCGATAATTCGGGTAGGAGAGTTTATTATCCGTTCAAATTTTATGACTATTTGGTTTGTGTAGGTGTCGGATTCGGATCGGTCGGAAACGAAAAAATAAAAATTGTTCAATTTTATGAAAATTTGGTTTAATTTTAATAAAATATGGCATAATTTTGCAAACAATTTTTCAAATTTGACAAAGATACCTAATAATGTTTGGATATCTAGGTTATTTTAGATATTTTTGTTAATTTGGTATTTTTGGTTATAAAATTATAAATAAATATAATTAATATTTTTAGATATATTATTTTATTTTGGGATTTCGGGTATAATATTCGGTTTTTGGTTCGGTTTGGATAATTCCGGTATAAACATTTAGAATCTGTTTGGAATTTTACGAATATTCAGTTCGATTTCAGAACTGGATTTTTTCGATCGGTTTTTAGATTTCGATTTTTGTGCACGACTTAATTTTGCCCCACGTAAAAACAACTTCTGGATCCGCCATTGATTGAGAGAGGTGAATGATGTGTGTTGGCTCAAGCTTATGTGGAGAATAGTTTCTCATGGAGATCCACTATGGTTTAAATGGAATACGATGAACTTATCAGGAAAGATTCGTTATGGCCCTTTTGAGCCAACTCAAGTCAGGGCTCCTGAATATGGAAAACATTATTGAATTATCAAGGCGAACAGAACCTAACCAAACCGATAACAGATTACATATGTATATGTTGCCGATCAGTTTTGCCCTAATAACCGAATCCGAACCGAATGCCACAAATCTCGGTTCGGTTCGGTTATTTCGGTTTGTCTTTTTTGTCCCAGGTCTAGTGACTATCTTAAATGATGTAGAAGATGCTATGTTCCGAAAATGGCATACGCAGTAATGTAGATGGTGAAGATGTGGTGCTATAGAGGGGGAGGGGGGGGGGGGGGGAAGGGATGCTTTCAAACCTACTTTCTCCACCAAAGACACATGAAACCACACTAGAACAATATCAAACAAGGTCACTAGGCATAAGGCAATTTGATTCTATCACGCGACGCCAAAAAATTCTTTTTGCAATGGGCTTCCAATAAACTATAATCTATCAATGCTAGTGAAAAACAACTTCAAATCTTAGTTCTCCACAAACTGAGAAGGAATAGAGAACTACGGCCCTGTTCGTTTACTAGTCGCTGGCGACTAGCGACTTCGATCAGCGAATTCTTCTGTTGTTCGTTTGATAGTCCCTGCGACTGGTTACTGCATTGTTCGTTTGGTAGTCGCTGCGATCAATCGCTATATTTTAAAATTATTATTTTTATTTTAAACATAGTTTTAATTTTAAAATTTTTATTTTATGCAAATTTTAGTTTTAAATAAAATTAAAGTTATATACTATACATTTTTAAGAAAATAAATAATACTTTTTAATACTTAATTAAAAATTCATTTATTTTAAGTTAAATTAGAGAATTTTAAATTAATTTTATTTTATTAAATTTAATTTAATCTAGTTTTAGTTTAATTTAAGCTAATTTAAACCAATGTAAATAAAATTAATTTAATTTAATTTTTATTTAATATATTTGATTGTATTTTTTTTGTTTTATTTTGTTTTACTCTATTTATTTTATTTTATTTTCAATTAAATTAATTCTTGGATCTAGCTGGTACGAATGAGAAACAAACTGTTAAGAGACACCCTAAATTGAGCAAGTCAAAGCAAGGGTTGTAATGTACTCACTTTGGAATTTTTGACGTTGAACATTCTTTCTTTTATTATATGATAGGGAAATATCAATGGATATGCTCAGACGATTGGAAAATTAGTTCTCTTTCCTCCCTAAATATCTCATCTACTGTTTAATAAATTTGGACTTTTTTGCCCCTATCTTCATTATTTCATTTCTCTTTCTTGCTTGTGTTTGATGTCAGAAGAAGAAAGTAAAAAAACTGTAGACAATTTTATTCTCTGTCGATACTCATGACGGACGTCAACGTTGAACTCGAGACCAACTCCGCCGAGACGGCATCTTGACCCAACGATTAACTCCAAACAAACTGCGCCGTGACGGCTCAATGACCCATGTGTTCGCCAACAATTGATTGAAACCATTGTGGTTGTTGTGAAAATTGAGTATTAGGAGGAGTATTGAGTATAAATGATCCTCAGGAATCAATGGTTATCGTCATGGACGATGAGGAGGACAATTTTTTTGTCTCTGTTTGTGTGGTTTTGAGTTCTAATTAATATGGAATTCCAATTTGTGAACACGTCTATGTTTAAGTTTCAATTTGTGGTGTGATGTATCTAATACTTCAATTGTTATCGGAGATTATGACGGTGGAATTAGAAAAACTGTGAGATATTTTGCTAAACTAAAGATAAACTTCAGTTGATCCGATAATTTATAAATTAACGATTAAAGAATGTAATATTCCGTTAAATAAACTATTAATCCGTTATAAATATATGTAATATTAAAGAATTAATAACTCATTTTTTTAGTTGGGTAAATAAATTATTCTTTTATTATTGTTAACAATTTATAATATTACTTAACATGTTATTATTATTGTTATCGTTTATAATTATATATACCTGTTATTAGAAATTTTTATCGAGTTAGTTACATTAGCAAAAGAGTAATTATGCATAAATATATATTTTATTATAATTATGCATAAATAAGATTACTGGTTTTAACATGATAAATATGCACTGAACACATTAGATATGAATTTACTATGAAACTATACTAATTAACATGCTAATCAAATAATTATACACACAAATACTATACTATATGTAACCCGTTATTTTTATATCTAATATAATAAATTTGTTTACATGATAAATGTGAATTTATCACATAAATTATAAACTTATCGCAATATAATATAGTTTAACTCGGTATATTTATTTTGTATTCATTGTTTAGGGTGCTAGTACTCCTAAAGTTGGTGAAGTTATTGGAATTCAGAGTAACGCAAATGCTAATAAAAAAATTAGTCGATACCTAAGTTATTCTGTAATGTTTTCGTTACTTATAGCTCGTAATTTTTTTCTTTTGCTCTGTCTTAAGGTGTTGCTAATACAGATGTTGGTAATGATATTTGGCTGAAAGACAAACGCGGACAATAATAATGTGGTCAGTCCATAAATTGCTTAACTCGGTTAGCCTCTGTATCTGTGCTATACAACTAAAGATCTTTATGTTGTATAGGGGTATTTTTGTCTTAATTATTTAAGGTGAAGAGAGAGAACTAAATAACTAATTATGAAGCATACATACTTAATTTTTCGTTCGTCTGAGCATAGATATTTAACTCACCCTATATGATATCATCATAAGGGTAAGTAGAAGTGTAGAACAAAACATTTGTATTCATCAGAAAAGAAAAAAAATTCAGCCTCAAATAACAAAATTTTGGTAGGTAACTAAGAAGAGAAAAAAATATATATATATAGGGAGTTAAAAGGACAAGAACATTTAAAAAGACACATTATTTTGTAAAAAACACAACTATTGAAACCAAGAGTTTGTAATATAAAAAATGAATAACACATACTGAAAAGACACAACATTAAATGAAATAGATGCAAATTTTTAAAAAGATACAACGTAAGATATAATTTTCAAATTATTAAAATTTCGAAAATATATATTACGAAAGATACGATAAAAAGACATCCGTAAACCTTACCAAAAAAAAAAAAGACATCTGTAAAAAGTATTTATTCGGATTTTTATTATTGTAAGACTAATACTCTTTACTTAATTATATATTTAATAAATTATATTTTTTCAACTATCTAATAAAATTAATATATATATTTTCGTTAAAAATTAGTAGTCTGTGGCCCGACCATGAGTGTCCTTGAGGCCCGCTTCTTTCAGACCAAAATCTTGTAACCATCACTACAAAAAAAAATCCACATTGATAGCATTAGGTAATAGCACGGTTTACCAAACTGCTATTGAAGATGATATGTAATTTTGGTTATTATATAATAGCATTTTATAAACGTTAAGATAGAATTTTAATGAGCGGGAATCCAAAATCTCTAAATCCGCCAAACACTTAAGCAAATATTTGGACTTTTAACTTTCACACTCGTTTTCCCCTCTTTCTCGAAAAACCCTAAGACGTAACTCTCTCAGACCTAACTCTCTATGACCGACGAATTGACTCTTCCAACCGCCAATTAAACCCTCTGTTGCCATCGTTGAAGGTCAACGTGAAACTGAACCTGCCGCCGGCATTAATTCTGCCTTAGTTATGTCGGTTTTGAGCTCAAATCGAAGGCATGTCCTTTACTCTGTTGATTTTTTCTTTTTTTTCGTTACCCTAGAATTGTTTCTTTCTATCTGTGTGACTCGATAATCTGATGTTCTAGGTAGTTTGGTTATTCTTCTTCACTTTTTAAAATTTCGTCTATTTTGTATGCCTCTGTTTTTGCAAATTCAGAACAATTTCTTTACATTATTGCGGACGGATTGGGCTCGGCCCATTCTGACATCTTTAGAGTTAAGTTAAAAGGACAAAAGTTTTAATATTTGATTTTGGAGGATCAGATCGAATCTTATCTCCAATAACAATTATAACTAGAAAACAATCCTTACGCCTGAAATCAAAGAAAGATACATAACAATGTTGATTAAATCTTTCATTTTTCATTAAAATAACACTTTGAAAACAAATTAAAGTCTAGAATTAAACCACTGGTTTAACAAAATTTCTTATAATAAAACATCTTCTTAAATACCTCTTATTTTTACTGAACTTGTAATAATGTTTTAACTACGTAAACATATTATATCCTACACAAAATAATAGGGTTTGGGTTCTAATATAGAACAAAATCGTAGAGAAGAAGATGTTGTCTCGTTTGGTATTAGACATTATATTAATTATTATATTCCTCTTTAGTATATTTGAAGCTCAGCATCTATATACATAAGAAGGCTATGCCTTTGTAACAAAATTTGAAATCGTATTAATAAATAGAAGACAAATTATAAGGAACTCTCCAGCTGAAACAGAGGTTTTGCTCTCAAGTGAAGCTGGACCTGCAACACAAACACTGAAGCCCATCAAAGAAACTCAGTCAAAGCCCATTAATACTCAGTCGTTATCCTGCAGCAACACAAAGCAAGATAACGTTCTCAGAAGATTCCCGAAGCAATGCAAGGTTCCAGGAAGCTTCCTTCATAACAAATTTGGAGCTCTTGGATCATGTGAAGTCACGTGCTAAAGGACACCTGTCATGACATCATTGATTACCTTTGTCCTTAAATATCAATCATTAGCCACTGTAAAAACTTGAGTTGAATAAAGACAAGAAAAGTTCTTCTTCTCCAAAATTTTCTCTCTAGCTTTCTTAAAGCTTTCATGGTATCAGAGCCATGGATGGCTCTCCTGAATCTTTTTCTCTTTCCGCTTTGAGAATCTCTCAGTGTGTTACACTAAAACTCACTGAATCAAACTACTTGCTATGGAAGACTCAGTTCGAGTGCTTTCTCTCGAGTCAGATGCTTGTGGGCTACGTCACTGGTGGCACTCCACGTCCTCCTCCTACGATAACTGTGCGCAATGGAGATCAGGTCACAGAAGCTCCAAATCCAGAGTTCGTCAAATGGGTCAGGAATGATCAAAATGTGCTGTCTTGGCTGTTTGGGTCTCTGTCAGAGGATGCTCTGCGTTCTGTCTATGGTCTCCACACATCCCAGGAGGTATGGTTTGCTTTGGCCAAGAAGTATAATAGGGTGTCTGCTACTAGAAAGTTAGATCTGCAAAGGCGTTTAAACAATTTGTCTAAGGAAGGAAAATCTATGACTCAATACTTGTCTGAGGCTAAAACTATATGCGATCAACTTGCGTCTATTGGTTGTGCTCTCACAGATCCAGAGAAAATCTATGGTGTGTTACATGGTTTAGGTCAGGAATATGAATCCATATCCACTTTTATTGAAAACTCAATGGATACCTTTCCTACTCAGTCTTTTGAGGATGTTGGATATCGTCTCACAAATTTTGACGATAAGCTTCAGGGATACAATTCTGCAGCCAGTGTCACACCGCATCTTGCCTTTACTGCTGACAAAACCTACTACACTCAAGGTCGAGGTCAGAATAATGGTCGGTCTGGTTCTCGTGGAAGAGGTCGTGGCTACTCTACACGGGGAAGAGGGTTTCACCAACAAATCAACTATCAATCCTCAGATTCTGGTTCAGAACGTCCAACCTGTCAGATTTGTGGTAAGTATGGTCATTCAGCAGTCAAATGCTACAAGAGATTTGATCACTCATATCAGATGGAAGATGTTCACACGGCAATGGCTGCAATGACGCTCTCTGGTCAGACTCAGGGTCACGAATGGCTTCCAGACTCGGCGGCAACAGCTCACATAACCAACTCTACTGCTCAGCTCCAACACTCACAACCTTACAGAGGTGATGATGCAGTTATTGTTGGTAATGGAGAATTCCTTCCAATCACTCATGTTGGTTCTATAGCAATTCCAACTCTCCAAGGTACTACTTTACCTTTAGAAGATGTTTTAGTTTGTCCAAACATCACAAAGTCTCTATTATCGGTATCAAAACTCACAGCAGATTATCCTTGTGTTGTTGAATTTGACTCTGATGGTGTTGTTGTGAAGGACAAACGGACCAAACAGCTCCTCACACGAGGAAACAGGCATAAAGATCTTTATGTGTTAGAGAATTCTCAGTTTGCTGCGTTTTACTCTTCTAGACAACAAGCTACTTCTGGGGAGATTTGGCACTTGCGACTGGGACATCCTAATGGTGAAATACTGCAGCACCTATCCAATAATAAAGCTATAGTGATGAATAAAACAAGCAATCGTTTGTGTGATGCTTGTCAGATGGGAAAGTCTTGTAAACTCCCATTTTCTACTTCTGATTTTGTTTCAAAAAGACCCTTAGAACGCATCCACTGTGACTTATGGGGTCCAGCACCTGTTATTTCTGCTCAGGGATTTCGTTATTATGTGATTTTTATTGATAATTACTCAAGGTTTACCTGGTTTTATCCTCTCAAGCTCAAATCCGACTTCTTCTCTGTTTTTGTTTTGTTTCAACAAATGGTGGAGAATCTTTTTATGCAGAAAATTGCTAACTTTCAGTGTGATGGAGGAGGTGAGTTCATAAGCTCAAGATTTGTGTCTCATCTAGCCACATGTGGCATCAAGCAACTCATTTCATGCCCTCACACACCGCAACAGAATGGGTTGGCTGAAAGAAAGCATAGGCACATTACTGAACTTGGCCTCTCAATGATGTTTCAAAGCAAGATTCCTCAATATCTATGGTTAGAAGCTTTCTTCACTGCTTCCTTTTTGGGCAATCTGCTACCATCTTCTGCATTAGCTGACAACAAAAGTCCTTATGAGCTTCTAAAAGCCATTCTCTGATCCTACATATTTTAGAAGCTTGGCAGGGAAGCTCCAATATCTTACATTGACCCGGCCTGACATTGATCCTAGATCATTACTTTGTGTCTTCTTAGGCTATAATGAAAAATATAAAGGTTATAGGTGCCTTTATCCACCTACTGGTAATGTGAAAGGTACAATAAGCATGGGTATCAATTTTTCGAATACTACAGACTCTACTCTTCGTGTATACAGCGACAGTGATTGGTCAGGTTGCAAAGACACTAGCCGCAGCACAGGAGGTTTCTGTACATTCCTCGGAGAAAATATTATATCATGGTCTTCGAAGAAGCATTCTACTGTTTCCCATTCATCCACTGAAGCAGAGTATCGAACTCTTTCATTAGCTTCTCGAGAAATAATGTGGTTGAATTCACTCTTACGGGAAATAGGAGTTGCTCAGCCTATTACTCCAGAGTTATATTGTGATAATCTCTCGGCGGTTCATCTCACTGCCAATCCTACACTTCACTCAAAAACAAAGCACTTTGCTAGAGACTTTCATCATGTGCGAGAACAGGTTGCACTTGGAGCTCTTATTGTTAAGCACATTCCAGCTCCTGATCAGATTGCAGATGTCTTCACCAAGTCTCTTCCTCAACAAGCGTTCTTTGATTTGAGGTTCAAACTCGGCGTTTGCTTGCCACCCACGCCAAGTTTGCGGGGGAGTATAAGGAACTCTCCAGCTGAAACAGAGGTTTTGCTCTCAAGTGAAGCTGGACCTGCAACACAAACACTGAAGCCCATCAAAGAAACTCAGTCAAAGCCCATTAATACTCAGTCGTTATCCTGCAGCAACACAAAGCAAGATAACGTTCTCAGAAGATTCCCGAAGCAATGCAAGGTTCCAGGAAGCTTCCTTCATAACAAATTTGGAGCTCTTGGATCATGTGAAGTCACGTGCTAAAGGACACCTGTCATGACATCATTGATTACCTTTGTCCTTAAATATCAATCATTAGCCACTGTAAAAACTTGAGTTGAATAAAGACAAGAAAAGTTCTTCTTCTCCAAAATTTTCTCTCTAGCTTTCTTAAAGCTTTCACAAATAAGGAATATAAAACTTAACCGGAAACGCCAACTCCTGTAAGATTTTAGTCTATACCCAAAACATTATTACTCTCCATGGATATTACATGCTTATGCCAAAAAAATATTACTATAGTATGAGAAAAAGTATGAATTAGTTGAGAGTCTGGGACAAAGGTTTTTAACATTTGATGTCCTTGGATCAAATCAAATGTTACAAAACATATTGGATTCAGTTGGAAAACGACATTTGGTACATAAAAAGGTAGATTAAATCTTTTAGTTTTTTAAACGGAGATCCGGATTCGGATATTATGATCTTAAAATTTTAGGAAAAATGATTTTCAGCTACACGAAAGAGACGCCATCATATAATCATATGCAAACTTTAAAAATATCTTGTTAGCTACACGAAATATTGCTATCATATAAGGACATTCCCGAACAAACCCAAATCATATGGAAACATCATAACCATCCTACTCTGGTGAACTGGTAGCCGGAATCCGGCGTTGACCAGAAAAAGTATTATTAAATTTTATTTTATTTTGATTAACAATTGAAAATAATAAATTACTATACATAATTTTATGGAAAACTTATATAACAAAATACACCAAAAAATAATTTAAATAAATATGTCACAAAATATTACAACTAGTATTCGAGTTTATAATGCATTTTCTCACGTAGTTTACTTTTGGTGCGGGATTTAGCATCCTCCAAAAAATTCGGCGTAAACCGCAAATAATTCTACTAAACCGAGTAAATCGGATAAACCGGTAATCAGTCCATGGACAAAAGCCCGATAACCTCGTCGCCGACCCGACATAAGAAAAGGAAAATACTAATTTAGAAGGAGAATCTTGAAGATATGGAAAAAAAAGGGGAAAAGATTAGATATTCAAAACCGAAGACTAAAAGAAATAGAACATATCAGAAATCGACGATCCCTCCATATAAATAAGGTCGAGAACTGAGTAAAGATCCGCCATTTTCATACACAAAACCCTATCTTGTTCTTGAAGCAACTAAAACCTTTGTAATTGAGACTTTTTGATTGAGATTTCAAGAAAAGAAAAAAAATTCTTCCTACTTTACTTAAATAAAGTCTATGTGGAATCCTAGTTTTCTACATTTACGAATTTTGTTTTATGATTGGTATGTATATTTGAAAATAGTTAAAGCTATACAATATAAGAATTATTAAGTCGCTCCAACGGTAATGTAGATCGATTTAGATAAAAGAGATCAACAATAAAATATTACTAATTATCAAATATATATATATATATATATATATATATATATATATTTAGACTAGTAAATTTGGTAGATCAACCCGATGACAGAACCGATCGAATGGGGCCAAATAATAAATCATTACAAGCACAAGCTTGAAAAATCAAAGCCCCTCAAAAAATAAAACATTTCTTATGGCAAATTACTTCGGGATCCCTACCAGTTACTTCAAAATTAGCACATAGAGGGATTCAATGTGATATTATCTGTAAAAGGTGTGAGTTGGCTGAGGAAACAATAAACCATGCTTTATTTGAGTGTTCTCATTCTCATAAAATATGGGAATTATCCGCAATTCCTACGGCATCAGGTATTTTTCCTCTAAGTTCGGAATTTTCAAACCTAGATTATCTTTATTGGAGATTACCATCTCCCCTAGATGGGGGAGAAAACCTACTGTTATGCTCGGATCTTGTGGTTCATATTGAAAGATAGGAATAAAAAGGTATTCAAGGGATTACAATCTGATCCCACAGATATTTTAAATCACGCTTTGAGTGAAAAATTATTGTGGGAAGAAGCTCAATTGGAACCGATCGAAACTAGCTATATTACGGAAACATTGGATAGCCTAGTTCAGTCAATAAGATGTCGGATTGATGGCTTTTGAAAATATTTGGATCCAACTATGGGTATAGGATGGTGGTGTTTTCAAGGAACTGAACAAACGATACTGCTCGGTGCAAAGTGCTTTCGGAGATGTTCCTCCCCCCTTCACTCGGAGATAGAAGATTTAATTTGGGCTATGAAGAATATCCTTTCAAAAAGGATCGATTGTCAGGCGTTTGAAACAGATTGTTCGGAGTTAGTCTCGATGATACAGTCACCTGATGAATGGCCCGCTTTCTCCAATCTGCTTGATGAGTTTGGTTTACTCCGCGTCTATTTCCCATTCTTCTCGTTTTCTCTTATTTCTCGTTTATGTAATGTTAAAGCGGTCTGTTTAGCCCGCACTTCTAGACTTTTATTTTTTGAAATTTCTTTTGTAGACTCTTCTCCTCCTAATTGGGCAACCAATCTAGGAGTTACTTATTAATTAATGTGTGGTTGACAAAATAAAATTAGGTAGATATTACTAGTGTTGGATCCCGAACGGAAGATACCCGATCTGGGAAAGACTTACACGTCGGCAAAGTAGGGGCTACAAGTCGGCCACGTCATCAAAACCAGAAGTCTCGGCTCGGGACAAGGCACAATAAAAAACCTAATCATAAATCGAAGCTAAGAGCAAACGCAGTGGAGCATGTGTAATTGTGGGTGTAAGTAATTGTTTATTATTATAATTAAAAGAGAAAAAGAGAAAAGAGAGAGAGAGAGATAGAGAGATAGAGAGAAGAAATTTTTTTCTATTTTTATAATGCCTCACACTTGAGTGTAAGTCTACACCCGGTTTTTGTTGAAAAGGTAACTTTTACAATATTTCTCAATTGTTTATAACTAACACCCGAGCATCACATGCTCCACTGCGTTTGCTCTAAGTAGAAAGCGAGTAAGGTAGGCCAAATATAATAATATAAACAAGCCCAACATGGTATATTAAAGATTCAAACCTAAGCGTTATGAGAATTAAGGAGCCAAATCGAAACAGGTAAATTAATGGGTAATCAAGACAATTACGACAATAATTGTCCATTCAATATTTGTAATATCTAGAACCTTGTCTATGATCCGATGATGAAATGTTGTGTTTGCTAAATAGAGAGGGAGAACGAATGTATAGGGGATCCTTTTTTTGACACAAAAGACTATAATAAACTTTTTAATCATACTATTTAGAGCACCTCCATCAAGAGGATCCATCATACGGTTTATGAAATGAGAAACTGTTAGATACCCATTAAATACTTTCTTTCACATGTGCCCTCTTGTTATTGGTTTAATCTTTTAAAACAAAATAAAATTTAAATATATAATAATATTAATAAAAAATTTTGGAAAAGCCCATTAGAGTCTCTTGACTAATGGGGATGCTCTTAAAGTGCTTCTATCCCGGCTATTGAAAGTTTAAAACTCACAATTTTCATATCTTTAAATTGTCCGGATCCGATATTCATAGATATGTATGTATTAATGAGGCTAATTGGTTGGCATGTGCAACTTTCACATTTCTTCAAGACAAAAACGATGGATCTTCATTAAATGATGTTATCCTTTATTAGTGTATTACAAATGCTTCTTTATATGA